GCGAGATTATTTGAATACCTATCGAAATCTGACCCTCGACTTGCACGTGGGCGACAGGCAAGGGAAGTCGCGAGAGAGGTTGCGAGGGAGTTGGTTCGAGAGAAATCAAAGGAGATTTTGGATAGAGAAGGGAAGGGGGTTAGAGATGTCATGTCACTTTTGGGTGGGTCTTTTGAGTGTCCGAGGCACGCCTGCACGACAGAGGGATTGATTACTCGATGTTATCCCCCCAGTTAAAGCCAATATGGCCTCTCAGAACGAGAGGACGAGGATGAGCGATGAGGAGTTGTATGCACAGATGTTGTAAGTCTAAGATTTCTTCTCCAGTGGAACATATCGACGTATAAGGAATCTATAGGATTATCTTCATTGCGGGCCATGAGACGACCGGTGAGTTCATGCGTTCTTGGTCGCCTATTACAATCGTGATATCCGTTGCATAGCCAACTCTATCAGCTGGATTCTTCTCGAACTGTCTCGCCATCCCGAAATCCAAGACAAGCTTCGAAAGGAGATTCGCGAAAAGGAACGTCAACTTGTCTCAGAAGGGCGCTCGCAATCTGGGTTTACGGCGGAGGATTATGAGTCCCTGCCTTATATGAACGCGGTCCTCAAGGTGCTTCCATCCTTTCGCTGTGTCCAAAGCTCGTTTTAACAACTCCTCGAACACAGGAATCGATGCGATACCACCCTGCTGCTATCCGTATTCTCAGGATGGCGTTCGTAGATGACTGTCTTCCCCTGAGCGAAAGTATCAAGACGGAGAGTGGGAAGGAGATCAGTGAGATTCCTGTGGCTAAAGGACAGAAGGTCATGCTTTCTATCGCGGGTTACAACAGGTCTGTCTGATTCATAGGGGTTAGGTTGTACCACTTTCTGATGAAGTTTATAGGAATAAAGAGGTATATGGTGAAGATGCGCACGTGTTCCGGCCAGAGCGATGGCTTGAGAACGAAGACTCCGATTCGAAGAAGGGGGGTACATCGATCGGTGTCTATGCAAACCTGTAAGAGAGAGGAAGAACTCTGTACGGATCCCCCTCCATTTTTGATACACCTTGTAGCCTAACTTTCTCCGGAGGCGTTCGTTCGTGCATTGGTTGGCGATTTGCGTGAGTACAGTGAAGTTCCCGCTGACAGTCGAGTCTCGACTAACACCTCTCTCTCTCTCCCCCTCATAGCGTCCTCGAACTGCAAACCTTCCTCGTCGAGTTGATCAGCAATTTCGAGTTTAACACTACTCCGGAATGTGAGAAGATTAGACGTGAGGCTTGTGGTGTGATGGTACCGACTATTGAGGGAGAGGTGGAGAAGGGCGGGCAGTGTCCGTTGAGGGTGAGGATTGCTCGGGACATGCAGTGACGCGGACTCGGAAAGAAATATGATTGTGAATTTGAATCAAAGGGCCGCTACAAGATTTGTACTGTATCGCTGATATGCAATGCCATAAAAAACCCAACGAAAAATCCAAGCGGAATCCCACAATTTCGAGCGTGGAACCCGAAATCAAGCCCTCATAACTGGGAATTCTGAGATCCTCAATTTCGTTGACTATGAACGAAACCGGCGTACTCTGCGGCTTTGAACTGCAATGTCTTCCGCGAGGGTGAGATGTGAGGACTGTCTCCAGGGAGGTATGGTGACTGGTGAGCACCCCCTTCGAATCCTATCGCAGCTCGCAGAAATCACTTACTTAGTATCGAAAGCGTAGTAACTAGTTCAATGGGGCCACGGTGACCCATGAGGACGAGACTCTAATATCTATCATATTGTTAAAATCGTTGCGCGTTCGAGGAACACGCTTTCTTACCAGTTGTGATTTGTGATTTTGAGCCAGGCAAGGAACAAAACTTTTTTTGTTTCCCTGCCGGCGACTGCATGGCTTGAACAGCTTCCCGTTGATTGATGATTGCTAACTGTTCCTCCGAATGCGAACGTCATGGCGCTCGTAGCCCCTGAGCGAGAGTGTATCCGAGTTAAGCTGGGGAATGGGAATGGGGAGGAGGTGAGGGAAGGTGGTGATTTCGATTGCGGGGTATACTGTAATAGGTGCGTGTGTGGCCTCTCAGTAACTCGATGATTAGGAGCAAAGATGTGTGGGCACTGGGGAGAGGATGTGGGTGGTTTTAGGCCGGAGAGGTTGTTTGAGGAGGAGGAGAACGGGGAGGAGAAGGGCAGTACTAAGGTTGGTGGTTATGCGAATCTGTACGTGTTTTTTTTTAAATTTTTCGTTTCTCAACTCCCCGAAACCCGGATTGACCCCCCGTTTTTTGTACTCATAGTCTAACGTTCTCCGAAGGCGTCCATTCATGTATCGGTTGGCGGTTTGCGTACCTCCCTCCCTCCCCTCCCTCTCTTTCCTCTCTCTCTCTCTTTCTGACATTCACATAGCCTCCTCGAAATACAAACCTTCCTCCGAGTCGTCGAGCTAATCAGCCACTTCGAATTCTCACTCTGACGTGAGGCGTGTCGGGTTATAGTAGAAGGGTTGTTGAGGGCGAGGTGTGTGCAGCATTAGGGCTTTTTTTGTACGTATAAACTGGTGTGATGAATGAACGAAGTAGTGTTCTTCGGAACATACTCCACAGACCCAAACATTCGTCGTATCAAGTTGTGAGGCGTGTGAACGAAAACAGGAATCCCAGATCTCATTCTCCAAAGACCAGGGACATATCACTTTACCATAACCCAAGTGTAATCGTTTTTTTGTCCAAAGAGCACAGAGCGACAATTAGCTACCGAGTACTGAGTGGCTAAGCAATGAGTGAGACCGGCGGAGACGGCGTTCCCAGTGTCGAAAGGTGATCAATCGGCAAGGACTCCGAGTCAAGAAAGGGCGGCTAGCTTTGGTAAGGTGTCATCAGCATCGATAAGGCGTCGAGGAATGTACACAGTTCTCCTGAGCCAGTTTGAATGGAACATATCACATATCACATTGAAGGAGGATGAGTAAGTGAGAACTTGGCGGTGTCGGCGGGCACGGCTTTGGCCAAAGATTCCAGAATTCCAAGTAGAGCGGAGGGCGCCCATGTATATGTTCAGCGCTCATATACCAAACTCGAGTCTTCTTCGGAACCGTCGCTTGATTTCCATGAGAATCGGCTTGAACTTCGCGTGCATGATCTTCTGTGACTCGGAAGCAAAGTAAGTACCGGCAACCGAGCGAAGGATCGATATAAAACATGCCAGCCAGGTGCGTCTGGATACCAAAAAAACACACCCACACAACATGGAATCCTCAAAGCCCATCCTCTTCTATGACATTGCCTCTGCACCCCCAGTCAGCCCATTCGCTCCCAACCCCTGGAAAGCACGGTACGTGGCTTTATTCTTCCATCATCACTGGATGTCTTAGTAACCCCTTGACAGCTACGCCCTCAACCTAAAACGCGTCCCCTACCGCACCGAATGGGTCGAACTCCCCGAAGTCACCAACGTGCGTAAACGTCTCAACGCCGCACCCTGTCGACAATTCGCCTCCGGGGAGGACTTTTACACCTTACCCGTCATCCACGACCAAGAAAAGGGAGAAATCGTGGGAGACTCGTTTGATATCGCGGTGTATCTAGAAAAGACGTATCCTGATTCGGGAGACCGACTGTTTCCGAAAGGGGTAGCGATGACGGCTGGGTTTAACAAGTGGTTTGAAGGGATTTTTCAGAGGTTTGGGATGCTTTATGTGCATGGGATACCGTTTAATCCGGAGACGGCGGAGGATTCGAAGAGGGAGTTTTGTAGGAGGGCTGGGGTGGAGAGGTGGGAGGAACTGAGTGTGGAGGGGGAGGAGAGGAGGAGGAAGGTGGAGGAGTTGAAGGTGGCGTTGGGGGATGTGGCCAAGGTGTATGGGTATAGTGAGGGGTTGTGGTTGGAGGGGGGGAGTAAGCCGACGTATGCGGATTGTGTTGTGGGTGGGTGGATGGTTATGTTGAGGAAGACGTTGAGGGAGTGGGAAGAGTTGAAGACGTGGCATGATGGGTTGTGGGGGAGGATTGACGATGAGCTTGAAAAGTATGCCCAGGTGAATTAGGTAGCCGCCATACAGTAGAGATAGCCAACAAAGTGTGCTTGGTGGACGTTGAAGACAACGAGCAACATCGCTTTGTCAGCGTCCGCGCCTCTCACCTCATTCTCCCACCAACATCACGCCCACCTCCTGGACACGAACTAGAGCCGCGTTGGATTCGTCATTGTCGCTGTTCTGGCGGGATGTCAAAGACTCGGAATGGGGAAGATCATGATAGAGCGATTTCGTTGATGTTTCGCGTGGAGGCTCTGGTATGAATTCCTTCACTCTCTCGGCGTTCATTCAACACTACAATTCAGATCAGTACCTGACTGCACATTCCTGACTGCCTCAACGGTGCATATACCGCTCTCAAATATGTTCGGATGCCTCTTTCCCCCATTTCTTGTTGGGCAACAACCCTCCCGATCCAATTCCTCGCATCGCCAGAATACGAGCCTAACGGAAACTCTCATGGGATCCAAGTATCGAGAACACGCTCTTGACCGGATACATCTTGCAAATGGCAATGGCCTCGATGCCTGAGTGTCTCAATCACTTTTCCTTCGCACTAATCTCTTATTACAGAGGTACGAAAACGAAAAGACCTCAAGCCCATGGAAGGAGCTCGGAAGCTTGGAAGCTCGGAATTCGAAGGCTCTCGGTTCGTCTTGCCCTCCATCCACCTTCCCCTACACTCCCCCGCCAATGATCGCTACCATCTCTGACTGACTCGCTATCCGTACAGTGCACTCACGACACTACATCCATACAAACAGCTAGCTAGGTTGGACTCTGTTGCTGCATGAGAAATAAGGCATGCGAGGTCTCGTATACCGTGCACCGGTTATCCTTGATCTCCAAAGTCAACCAACTAAACCTCAAAGTGACAGATCTCACTCCCTCGAGAGGCGTTCCACAAGTATTCTCATTCATCGCGTTTGAATCTGGGAATGCGGTATATGATATATTGAGCAACCACGTATAAGTATCTCGAAAGCAGCATGGCGCAGTGGTAGCGCGCGGGGCCCATATATGTGCAATACTTTCTCTGTACACCCCGAGGTCACTTGATCGAAACAAGTTGCTGCTATAATTCACCTCCGTTCATTGGTATTTTTATTCAGCTCTCTTGAGAGGCCCACATCTATAGATAATATTGCGAGGCCGACCAAAAGAAAAAAGAAACGTAAACTTGTTCTTCGTTCTAACTCAACAAATTTGCACGTTCATCACCTTCTATCATCGGGACACGGTGAGGAGAGTCAAGAGTCAGGTTCGCGATTCGCACCTCCTTGTCGTTAGAGCTCGGAGGGAAATACCTGAAGGAGAAACGGAGTCTGGCCCTAGGCTGATGGGTTCCGATTCTTTCTACGTTCAAACTCGACTCGACGGCAACCTACAGATCTATCTTGATCATTCACGTGGCATGGATCTCTTCCTCAAGGCCCAGGATGATCAGCGTGAAAAATGGGTGTGTACTACAGCCTGGATCAGTATCTGAAAACACATCTCTGACTGCCTTAACGATACATATACGCCCGTACGCCTCTCTCACTCCCTGTGCCTCGTACGCACGTAGTTGTCAACCCTCCCAATCCAACTCCCCGCATTGCTAGAATACAAAGCTATGGGATCCAGGTGTATGGTACGTGCTCTCCACCGGATGTAAGTACCTATCCGTCGTTCAACTTGTGTTTCGTTTTCCTTCCTTTAGGCGTTGATTCTAGTAATATCTAGGTCCATAGCCTGAGGTATACGTCGGTTTCCTTGATCGATTGACTGATATGAGTATTGAGTAATTATAACGGACTCATATTCGAGTCGCGTTGGTAGGAGTGCAAGAAGAATTCGAAGGACGTAGGCAACTCACTGTCTGGATTCTCTCTCAGGAGCTCCAACTAACTAAAGCAGCATGGCGCAGTGGTAGCGCGCGGGGCCCATATGAGGGAACATATTAGTTCTGAGTTCAATGGAACCCCGAGGTCACTTGATCGAAACAAGTTGCTGCTATCAGGATAATCCTCAATCTCAATTTTTTGTATCTTTCGTCCACTTCGCCCGAGCTACCCTTCGCCATCCCAGCGTCCGTCGAAAGTTGGAATTTACGTTGAAGGACCAGTCACCAAGGTTTGATATGAAGGCAACACGCCTAACCGGACCCGGGCCGGAGAGTCCCATTTGGGACGGACAGCTATTTCGCATGGGAGGGCGTATGCACCGGAATCTAGTGAGATAGAAGAAGAAGAGAAGAAACAGAGAAACACAGTAGGTTTGTGAGCAACAAGCATCTGTAAGCGTCCACAGTCAGGGTTAGCGGGGCGGCGGCG